CATGGTTAGATTTCCAACCTCGGTTTGCTTGTCTGGCAAAGCCCTGGAACTAGATCCCAGCCTGCAAACCCACATGCCCCATCACTCATGCCCATGCCTGCCTGCTCAGAGACGTCCAGGTGGCCGGGACTTGGCGGTTTAAACCCCAATACCAGTGCAGCAAGAGAGAAATGAGCTCTGATGCATGCTACATCATGGATGAATCTCGAAAACATCATGCTGAGTGAAAGAAGCCAGCCACAGAAGGACATATACTGTCTGATCCCACTTATTTGAAACAGGCAAACGTATAGCGACCAAAGCTTATGAGCGGTTACCAGACATGTGGGGGGAAGGGGGGGTCATTGCTCAGGAGGCACTGAACTTCTTCAGGGTGATGGAAAAATTTGGAACAGGACAGTAGTGACGGCTGCATAACACGATGAACTTAATCAACATCACTGAATTATACCCGTAAAAATGGATGAATTGGCAAATGTTTTGTGATATATATTTTTACTACAACGAAAAGAAAAAGAGAGAGGAGAAAATGTGAACAGCAAGGAGACTCTGGAGCTGCGCTGAGACTCACAAGGCGCGGGGACATCATTTAAACAACTTCAGGGGCTTCGCGTCCCTCCCCAACTCTTCTTCCCAGCCTCTGCCCACATCCCTTCCTCCTGTGAGCCAGTCCCGGCTGCGGCCGTCCCCCGGGCCCCGCCAGGCCTCCCGGTTTTATTATCCTAATTATTTCTGTCACAGGCAATTAGAGCCATCTTTCGCCTGGAGGGGCTTCACTGAAATGAAATTATCATCGGAATCCCCAGGGCCACCTTGCTGGGGAGTCATTCCGCCCGGTGACACTTACTATTGTGCTCCGGGTTTTGCTGTCGAAAAAGGAATCCTTATCAGACAGGTCAAATCTGTTGAAATATCGGGAAGACAATGAGACAATGAGACACAGTTCACTGGAGTTGGTTCTCCCAGCTTCCAAGGTCCTGGGAAATCACGCTGTCCCCATTAGCGGCACCCCTGGACTTGGCTTTGCTCTGGCCACATACCAGAGGGGACCCTGGGAGTCTGGGACAGTCTGTCTCATCACCCCCTGCCCACCTCGAGGCCCTGAGACCCACGCAGTGGGGAAGTAACCCCAGAGGCGAGTTCGGCCAGACCTGCCTCCCTGGCGGTCCCTGCCTCCTTTGATATCTCCTTGGGAGTGTTTCCAGTTTCTGCTGGGGACGGGGACAGTGTCCTTCCACCACTGGACAGTTCTAGCTTGTAAAACAATCTCCCTGTGACT